CTCTCACTCTCTCTATCTTTCTTCCTCTTATCCACATTTTTCCATTGATTTCGTATTCCTCTAATTACAGATACTCGCAATATATACGGATCATGACACGCATAAACTCGGAGAAAATTCTCAGAATTTTCTAGGAAATGTATTGGAAAACGAACATGGCGACGACCGCCATCACAGGATTCATGTAAGTAGTCGCAGATGTTTTGGATAGATCTCGTTGGAGCACCGGAGGCGCGTTCGCGGGCCTCGCGAGCCTTGCCTGACACACCTTCTGTCGCAATAACGAGCATTTTTCTGACCTTTCAGTTGTCATTAAAAAGAAAAGAAGAAGCTCGCAGGCTGACGCGAAACGGAATTGCGGTTCGACTAGTTTCAAAGAGGCGGCCGACCACCGTGGAGGACTGAAAACACTGACATTTCAATCTTCGTGGAGATACACTGTCTACCCTTCGTTCCCATTTGTTCCACCGACGATCCAAGAAAAGCGTCCTACGACACCACATCTCCTCGTCGATCGTGCGTGCATGCATTCTTTGCCGATGATTCGCGGTTAAAAATACGCGCGCAGCCAATCGGCGGATTTTCGTTCGGCAAACTCTGATGAACTTGTTACATTTATCAGATATGCATGTTTCCACGGGTTCGTGGAACAGCCGATTGTCCTCGGGGGTCGTGAATATTCTATGGTGTACGACGTCGCGTCGCATGAATGACACGATGTAAATGTCGGTACATGGCCGTGGTGTGCTGCGAGAAAGGCTGGCTACATTCGAGCCGAAGATTAATAACGAATCGAGAACCCGGGTCGGCATTAATGTCACGGATGAGTTTCGCCGAAAACTGTCGCGCGATGATTTCTAGCGATATTTCGATGACGGATCGGTTAGTCTCGTTTAATGCACGCTCCCGTTCCAATCTTACGCAATGGCGTCGATCGCCACGAGTTTTCTTAAAGGATGAAGCTGTATAGAGGAGACAAGTGTGTAACCTATCGGTGTTTAACGAGGATGAAAGTGATTGATTGTTGTCGCTGGTAATAAACGAAGCTGCTGATCAATTTATGACGTTTCGTGCTTCAGCCTCGAGAAATAAAAATAAAACGCGGAAGAAATGGGAAATATCAAGCTCGCTGTACATACTTTTTGACAAATTTGACATTTCAATGGAGCCTCGTGGATGATTAATTTGCGAAAATTAAAATTAAACCTGGAAATCATGCAAATGGAGTATTTTTCAGTAACGGATTAAGAACTTGCTTGAGATAAGATAGATTACAAAATAACAAAAATAATTGCACGCAAATAGACTTGGAAATATATTTATATATTACTAAATTACGACTATAATTACATAAAAACCGTGTAATTTGTAATTGTAATGTGAAAACTGACATCCAAACAGCGAATGTAATACCGAATAAACGAATAAATAAATTATTTTCATCTTTTGAAGTATTTTTTTAATAAAATTATACGTTATTCAAATTTGACTGGCCGGAAAGAGGGGTCCTAAAAATATTTACCAATTATCTTTGTCCTGTATCGTTTCAATTTCTACGCTTCTTGCAATATTTTCGTACGTTACTATCACCGACGATACGCGAGGACGTTAATTACTCATATGAGATACTCGTAAGAGATAAAACGTCTTACACGCCAAGATAAGAGATAGCAAGGAGGACAGAAGTAAAAGATGGAGGTAAAATGTGCATTTGTCGTGATCCTCTAATCACTGAGCGATAGCGATGATTCATGATGTAAAGTTGTCAATGATTATTAACGGTTCACGGGAAAAGTTAATTAATCTCGCATTAGAGCGCATCGTTTCGACCGCGGCTATCCGCGAATGCTAATATAATTTCCACCATTTAGTTCGTCTGAACGTAACGCAACATTGAACGTTAAGGTCGCTTTTTATATTTACATAAGTATCGTAGTATTATTACGACACCGTCGGGCACGCAGCATTTCACATCATCCTTAATGTACCGTCCCACGTTTCATATCTATATGCGAATAATTGACAAACTAAACAATTGCACAAACGAAAAATACGCGCACGAGGCGAATTTCTTATTAGCAATGCCGGCTTATGGCGGCCGAACGCGGGGCCCGTATCTGATATTCCATCGCGTGTATATTCATGGGACCGACAATTCTATTCATTATGCACGGATTCGGGCAAATTCCAATAATTAAGTCGTGAATCGATGGCCGAACCATTAATTTTCATGTACACGGAACAATATACCTTTCTCTTGTCTCGTGGCACGTAGCCATGCAAATGTGTTCGCGCAGCCAGGAAATGGAGGCTAATAAAAATCTGCTATACCATCCCGCGCTGGATTCGTCTTACAGTGATTCTGTAACGGTTTAATCATTACGAGATCAAATCCATCACGTAACGAGAAACCGAAGTAGCATCTTACAAATTACTTCTGCTATTCAAGGCTGAAAGCGATGAAGGAAAAAACAAAAAGGAGAGAAAAATAATTAAATCGATGCACGGAACAGGCGAAATTACTTACTTCTTAATAACCACGAGTTCCATCCAAGATAACACGTGGATACTTTTAAATCAGTATCTCATTCGCTATTCTTTTCCCAATTTTCCTGTCATTTTACCATTGTACCATTAATAATATCCGCCAATTTGGTTCGATATTATAATTCAATTCGATATCAGGAGCCAAGAACGCTGTTAGTTATCACGATGCTAAGTCTGAAGTAAGAAAACGCAATTCGTTGAAATTGAGGTTAGGAAATATCATCGAGCTATGACGTAAGCCTCGTTTCGAAGGTTTTCTGGTAAAAATGGAGAAGAAAAATTAGTATTGATTAACTTACGATCGAGGAGAAGTTGCTATATGATATTTCTGATTATCTTTATGTTTACTCGCCGAGGAAAGAAGATATTATTGGCGAATTCATGAAAATTACACGCAAACAGTCGTCGATGCATTATCGCCGATTGCAACTTACGCCGCAAATGTCAGGGTTAAGCAGAAGATCGCTGCGTTGGAACGGCGATGCTCAAATATCGGGGAAAAATCATGCATGTTCTCGAATCAAGCATATCTGACAAATTCAATTTTGAGGTTAACCTCGCTGCTCCGCCATACGTTCCGACAAACCGCGCGCGATTTGGTTTTGCTATCACGTGGTTGAAACGTTGCACGGCGAATCGCAGAAGTGATAGTTGGTAAATGTCAGCGTGTGTTTGCTGAAAATATTTTATAATTAACTGGAAGAAACGAGGGAAATAACGAACTTCGATTTGCAAGTACGTGGAAAGGGAAAAAAGCAGACAGCACACGTCGAACATGTTAATATCAGTTTCTGGATTCTTTCGTCGTCGAGGATTGCTAATCGATTGAAGAAGGCTCTGGAGGATGCGATAAATCGTCGAAACCGCAAATGGAGATTTCAATTCTGGGAATCTATGTTAAATAGTATAGATATAAATAGTTCTATAAAAAGATTTGCATCATTTCTACTTATTGAGCAATAAAGGACTTTCACTCGCTAAGTCAACGCAGATTTTTATTTCATAGATCCTCGAAGAAAAAAGGGGCACGAAAATTCTCTCACGATTATTCCAAATTTATTGAAAAATCAAATTATTCCTCTCAATAATAACTTGTAATAAGGATTCGTACATTTTTCAAGTTTACCAGACACTCTGTTATCGTTTAAATATTAAAACGAGCTATTTATTTCAATCAAAATGGCGTCGAGGTGCAACCGCTATATTTAGACAGTTTTTAAATGTAATGGAAATGAAATTATTAATGCGTCAGGGACGTGCAATGTTAATAAATGGCACTGTATAACTCATACATTTGTGTCACGAGGCATGCGTGTGGATAGGATTCAAGGAAACGAAGATTTCCTCTGCTAGAAGCGAAGCTAACACAATTGTACGTGACCTAGACACTGCATCCCTTTACACATTCAATCGCAGCCTGTTTTGTTCGACTTTGTAAAAATTCTGTACAAATATCCGGTAGAGCCTTGTAGCAAATGGCAATTATCTTCCTACTTCTCTTGTACCTTCTGTGCCTCTATCTTTATTGCATTACCGCGTGCCACGTTTGCAGCTGATGCTATCGACGAAATTGATATTAAACTGATGGTATTTATTAATCGAAATGTGGTTCTCGATATTCCAGTGATATTTCCATCACACCGTGCAATATTATTTTATTGGCAATTTTCATCTTTTTACACCTTTCCTTCACCACTTTTCCTTTTTTTTTATTATTATTCTCATTATCCATATCGAGCTGTAATCTGTTAAAACCTCCATCCTGTTCAATCTACGCTTAAGCATAATTAAAAATAAAATTTCTCAATTTATTCTAGGCATTTCATCCCTTATTTCCAATATCAAATAATTACTCTCGATTTTTCACTATCGAGAATCTTATATTAATTATATTTCGTCTGCTGTCAGTTTCCAATTCATTTCATGTGCCCACCAACAGGAACGAATAAAATATAGTAATTACATTTTTCTCTTAACTAGGACACCTTCTGTGCACAATAAATTATCATTCACCCTGGATGGTCCCTTCGAACGATCGAAGGCGAAGGAAGAAAATGAAAATTGCAAATTGCTAATTTCTTGCTAACCCAGAGTCCTCGACTCTTTCTCGAAACGTCTAAACTTCGTGGGGCACGGGCCCGCTTCCGGGCGAGAGAGTACATCTGGAAAGAAGACGCTCACCGACGCAATTGCAGAGAACGAGGAACGTAATGTCACGTACGATTCGGCTTTGCCAAAAATCCGAAGGAACGGGTCGTCCACGTTTCGCGCGTATCTCATGTCATGCGTGCCACGATGAAAAATCACGATTCTCGATTCATCCGAGCACATTTTTCCGAAGATACACTGGTCAGAAGAAGTTCATTGTGAAGAGGGCAGGGATGACCCCTTTCACTGTACCACGTTGCTACGGTCGTGTATATAAGAGGCGAAGCATCTGACGAAGAAGCACAAGTACCAACCCATCTCCATCCTAACCGCTTCATCGCCGGTGTCCGTGTGACAGAGAGATTATGTTCACTATCAAGGTAGGTACTCAGTCCGTAAGACACGCGGCCGACAGTAGCCCGCGAGACTCGGTTTTCATCCGCGAGATAAGTCTCCAACGCCGCTCACGCGACCGTGAATCGGTGTTAGGCACAGCTTTCCGTGGCTATGGGGCAAAATTCGCCACCATTGCTATTTTCCGCCAAGTTAATCGAACGGATACCGGGTACCGTGCTATCGCTCCATCTCGAGTACGTGAACTGATCACATTTTCTTATTACCACTGGCGCGCAATTTGCCGTTGGAATTTGAAATTCAACTTTGAATATCACTTTCGTGCCTCGCTCGGAATGATCCTGGAATTTCGCAGGGTCAATCCTGCCAGTGAACTTTGCCTCCGTTTGTAAATTTACAATCTTTGACCTTTCCACTTGCAATTTTTCCATTTCGATACTGCCTTCGAGTGAGATCCGTGCAGAAGATTGCAGGGTTAATTCGGGTTTGCTTCTCGATTGTTCGGAATTTAGAGTCGTTGGTCTTTCGACTCCGAGTCGGAACCATCAACGCGAAATTTCACGAGCTATCGATCTTAGACTGCGTTCAAAATAAAATTTCGAATTTTTCAATGCAGAATTTCGCAGGGTTAATTCTAACCTTTCCTAACCTAGGGAGACTCTTTAACATTCGAAATTGTGGGATGAGAAAATTTCTGATTAATTTCATGCACGTCTAATTTTGCTTTTTCGAACGTCACGTTTGCGTGGAATTTCGTAGGACAAACGGAAAAATTTCGCAGGGATAATTCTAGTCTATTTCGTAGTATTAGAACGATGCATTGTCGCGTTTCGTACCGTGCAATTTTGCCTCTTCGTATTTTTTTCCCATTTTTTTCACGCATCGCGCTGCTGGAACGTGATAATGTTTCGCTTTATTCGCAACATTGGGTCGCTATGAAATTTACTGGAATAAAACGCGCCAAGATAAACACTGTGCGCGGGTGTAACGTGTCAACGGAACGGTTCTTGTTGTCAATAACGCGTTTTCGAAGGAAAAAAGAGAAAACATTTTTAAATTGCAGCAGAAGGAAAACAGACGCGATACTCCTGTTTCAGCGTCGAAATTCGAAATTCGTGTTATAAATGATAATGTCATGGCTCCAGACGCGACCTATTTCATGGAAACTCGCCTACGCGAGCTGATCGGACGTAACGCGACAGAGTCAATTCTCCCCCGTGGTTCGCGAAATATTTGCAAACTATACGTGAACGCGAAAATACGTCGGAACACGACTGAGACTTTTCTCATATTTTATTGAACTCGTCAAAATGAACTTTAACCCCGTTTCTTTCGTTCTCGTGATCGCGATGGTAACGCGAATTTTCGTGCCCAGTGTGCACGGTGAAACGCACGTGCAAAGTTTTCGCGATGATTCGAGACAAAAATCGATTTTTCTCGATTTTTAGATCGCCGAACCTTCAGGAGGCTCTCTCAAAACTTCCCCTGTCATTGGATCCCGATTATTGACAGAAGCTGTTACCATCCTTTCGCTCCGCGTGTGTAACTTTTGAATTAGTTAGACGTTGCATCAGGATGATTTTAAAAGCGATTACTTGCTCATGCGTCTCATCGATACTATCGTTATGTCACCGGTGTCGAGGATACGACTTTCCTCTTTCATTCGCGGATGAGAAGAAGGCGCGTCGCGACGCCGTTCCCCTATTAGCATCGCATTACGCGTATCCCAGCGTACCTTACATTCCCGGGAGTATTTCGTGCAGGTACCCTGCTTCTAGACATTTTTTCGCCCATCGCAATCGACCTTCCTTCTTATTTGCACGAGTCGCGAGGAGTGTACATAACCTATACTAACAACGGCAAATGAACCGGGCGTGTTAAACGAGTTCGAGCTTCGAATATTCTCTGGCAACGGGATCCGTGAATCCGCGAGTAATACAGTAAATTGCGAGAAGTGTTTCAAAATATTCGATAATTTCGAGAAACAGGAATAGCTGACTTCTCTAACCGGTAAAATGTTTCAAAATTCGAGAAATGTTTCAAAATTTGTAGAATATTCGATAATTTCGAAAAACAGCAATAGTCCACCTCGCCAACCGGCAAAATATTTCAAAATTCGAGAAATATTCGATAATTTCGAGAAACAGGAACAACTGACTTCTCTAACCAGCAAAACGTTTCAAAATTTGAGAAATATTCGATATATTTACATTTGTATATTTTTATTTTTATTTTTCTTTATCATTAATTTCATATCTCACTGTAATAATTTTCTTGTAATTTTTCTAATGGTACAAATAGATAAATAAATAAATATTCGATAATTTCGAGAAACAGGAACAGCCGACTTCTCTAACCAGCAAAATGTTTCAAAATTTGAGAAATATTCGATATATTTATATTTGTATATTTTTATTTTTCTTTTTCTTTGGTATCATCAATTTTATACCTCACTGTAATAATTTTCTTGTAATTTTTCCAGTGGTATAAATAGATAAACGAATAAATAAATAAATATTCAATAATTGCCAGAAACAGGAATAGCCGACTTCATTTACAGGCAAAATGTTTCAAAATTCGAGAAATATTCGATAATTTTGAGAAACAGGAACAGTCAACTTCTCTCACCAGTATGATTAAGTCAAAACGCGGGAAATTCGTGTGAGAGGCTGTTAAACCACGTTAATTCTTCTAACCTATCTCATTCTTCATATCAACGATTGGTTCTCGATAAATGTTTCAAAATTCCCGAAATATTCGATAATTTCGAGAAACAGGAACAGCCAACTTCACTCCCCGGCTTGGTTAAGTCGACACGCGCGAAATTCGTGTGAGAGACTGTTAGGCCACGTTAATTGTTCTCTTCTTACGCTCCTGGCGTATCTCATTTTTCATATCGACGATTCGTTCTCGATGCAGGATTGAGAAGGAGGCGTTCGAAGATCTTCGTCAGCAATCGCTGTTGCGGATTGCATACAATCAAAATTAACGGAATTCGAACGAGGGAACAGAGGGCAGGCGTGAAATTAAGAATAGAATTATCATAACAATTACGAACGACAAGCGCGATTGCGTCACTCGTGTCGACACCTTTTTCTTCGAGGCGGGACAATTGCGATGGTATAAAGCGTCACACCAACGAACATCCCGAGTACTTTCTTACGACCGGTGTACTCCGCTTCTCGCGTCTTCCGCGCCATTTTGTTCCGCCATTTAACTGGGCCAAGCGACGCGTCGAGCACCGAATGCTAAACTCATCCGTTCCACTTAAATTTCGAGCTTGTGTCTTCTTCCATCCCCCTCTCTTGCCTCAAATTTCGTAATATAACATCGCGAACGCTATCGCGATTATTTGATTGAAATTTAATCGCTATTTGCGCGAGTCACCCGGTTCTCTAGTGAGTTTCGATGGTGCAAAATTCTCCTTCCTCGTTGGCGAGGTTAGAAACGATCGCGTATTGTTGCAAGTCGTGACAAGGAAGTAACAGCTGACTTCGAAGATGATTTAATTGGTTGTATACACGCGTTGCTGATCGAGGAAGCCATTTTTCGTCGTAAATTGACGTAATCGCTGAGTCAAGTCTTTCACGTTGATTCGGAAACTCGGGTTGTTTAAGGTTAACGAATTTGATGGTTTCACGGGAAAGACGGAAATGGGAGAATCGAACACGGATATCACACACCCCGAGCACAGCCGCAGACAGTAAACCCTCGACAGAAAGACATCAATTCGAAAAAATTCCGATTAAACCGTGGAACAAAAAGCGGGAAACGAGAAAGAGTCGGGAGAAAGTTGGCCTGGGTGGGAAGGTCGAAAACGGCGCGGAGCTAGGTTCTCTATTCTAAAGCAATACCAGACATCGTTAACCCCATCCGCGGCAAAGGTAGACGGATCGAAATTGACAATCAACGAACATATCGAGCCGTGTCGCGCCTTTCAGACAGGTCCGAATGGTGATCGTTTGACCTTATGAATGAGAAGAAGAAGCGGCTTTGCGACTCTCCGGTTCTTTCATAATCCGTCTGATTGCACGTTGCACGGCGAGAAGAGCCGGTGGACGCGTCATTATCGCCACCGGTAATTCCTCTTTCAGCGGCGCGCAACACTTGCGAAACTTTCCGCGCTTTGTCATTTTCGCGGCCGGGACTGGTGGCAACGGGTCCACGATCGATCCGTGTTCCCGATCGTTTCGGGGATAACGGGGTTGCTATGGGGAAGAATGACAGGAGACTAAGGGTATTCCCAATTCTGAGATCCGAGTTCGGAACTCTAAGATCTGGGATATGAGTTCCAAGCTCTGAGTTCTCAGTTCTAAGTTCTGAATTCTGAGATCTAAATTCTGAGCTCTGAGCTTTGAGTTCTGAGCTTTGAGATCTGCGTTCTGAGTTCTGAGCTCTCAGAACTGAGTTTTCAGTTCTAAACTCTGAGTTCTGAGTTCTAAACTTTGAGTTCTGAGCTTTGAGATCTGCGTTCTGAGTTTTGAGCTCTCAGAACTGAGTTTTCAGTTCTAAACTCTGAGTTCTGAGTTCTAAACTTTGAGTTCTGTGTTCTGGCAGCCACGAGGGTTGACGAAGGACGCGACGAGAGACGAAGGACGCGACTAGACTATGGTCGGTGAATGAGAGAGAAAAATGGCGGCTTGCAGGCCTATCCGATTTCCTTCCTTGTCCTTCCTTCTCCGCGGAGACTGGCTCCGCTTGGCCTTCCGTGGCTTCTATTGTCTGCGCGGTGAACACGACACGTAGGAAGCGATCGCTTGTTCCAGCTCGGTCATACGGTCAAGGAGAATCGAAATATCGATTACATTGTTACGAGAATGAAATCTTGTCCGGATAACGTTCCATTGATGTGGCGTGTTGCTCGTGATTAGTAATTAGAAACGCGTTACGAACTGGATTAAGGGGCACGGGTCCGCAATCCGATCTTCGGCCAGCCGACTACCTTGTCATTTGTGCGCTGCATTCGCGAGTTGCGGTTCTAAATCCTGCTTCTCGGTCCACGCGTGCTGCTGCGTTTCGCGGGACCATTCCCCAGGAATTCGGCTGATCAACAGTGGACACAAGTGAAATATGATTTGGCTTGCTCCGGGATCGCACGCGGTCGGGGAAAGGAATTTTGTGGTTGTTGAAAATACGACTCTATAGATACCGTTAAAATATTCCTCGTATCAAAGGGACATTAACCAAGCCTAGATGGTGAGTGTTCATCTTTCGTTACATTTTGAAACATCGAACATAGTCGTAAATTAAAATCGATCAAAAATAGAATTTTCCAAATATAAATAAAATATCGTAGAATATTTCAAATATCTCAATCGTGTATTACCAAAATTCTTATTAGGAAACCTACAGATATCTATCGCGAGAAAATTCAGTCGTTAAAAGAAAAATTTTGCAAATGTCTCTAAAATACTCGTCATGGTACACTACGAAAATTCTCTTTGATTTCCGAAGATTTTCACTCGAAAGATCGTTGGAAGATTAAATTTACCATGGTCGAAGATAAAATAGCGCGGATCCTTTTTTACCAAAATTCGTATACTAAATGAAAGATGGCGGCATGCACGCGTGACTGGCACAGAAGAGCGGGGGACGAAAAGAGATTCGATCGGGCTGACATTTAGGGCGCGAATTTTTCCCTAGTAAGATTCACGGCTGATGGGGTTTCTTGAATGAAATTACACGTTCCACGGTCGTGCAGGCGAAAAAATGCACGTTACACGAGTACCACTCTCATCCCGCCACTACGCTGCATTTCATAATGTCATTCGCAGCTGATGTAACCGCGTCGTGCAGTTTCTAGGCATTATCATCTTCGTTTGCCCTTTGCGAGCCACGCCATCCTCGTCGCCAAGCGTTACTTTCACGAATTCTATGAATATTTGAACGAAAGGTTTTGCGAATGGTGTTAGGGCTCGGCATTTCTCATGGTCCACGTGTTTCCCAGGCGCTACCACACTTTGTCAGTCACGACAGACAATGCGAGTTCAAAACTCGCATTCCAATTAGCTTAATTGGCGCGGATCCGACGTCCATTCGAAATACACGCTGATCCGATCGTGCACACGCGTTTTTCCACTGGCTTTTCGTTCTGATCCACGTCACGGAACACTCCACGAGTCCTCGTAATATGATCTTTCGTTCGACACTATAACGTTCGGAAATTATGACAATTGACAGGTCCGAGTCCTGTTTCGCGCGGTTTTTGTATGGTAATTTTCGTCGTCTCGCAATTATTCCACAGAAAAATGGTGTCTCCATGTTAAGTCAGTTCGAGGAATTGATATTTCGAAAAATCGCAGTCGATTTTAAGCGAGTTTGAATCCGTACCGTGGACTGACAGTCTAATTGCTGTCAGTCTCGTGTCTAGGTTTCGAATACGCGCGTGTCTACGTGGTTTCTGCGTTTATATTTTTGTCGACGGTGAGAAGGATGTTTGGAGAGTTCACCGTGGCAATAGTTGTTTGATCGGAGATAAAATTGTTGCAGGTGTTAGCGGCGGTCGTACTTTGTACGACGGCGACGTTAGCTGCTCCTCAACGACCTTCCGGTGGCGCTGACAAAGATGCGGTGATCACGTCCCAGCAGCTGGAAGTCAACTTTGACGGCACTTACGTCAATAAGTAAGTTGGAGATTCTGGAAACATCGTGACAACTGATGACGATGCGGCCTCGCCGAAGTTGCGTTTCGAAATTTATACGAAAGGTCATCCTTGCGAGATAGAAATAGATCAGAGTAACGCGAGAAATGTACGAGTACAGTGTGTCGTATAGTACGAAGTATGTCGTATATTTCAAATCGAATTAACCGGGAGAAAATTCTTTTTATTTTCCAAGAAGCTGTGAAAGTTTAATTAGATCCGATTTTTTAGGGCTTTTTGATCTCACTTGAGAGCAAGACTTGTCCTTTATGTTACAGTGAATTCCCAACTTTTTTCCAAATTTTCACTTTGCAGTAAATTTCCAAGCTTTTAATTTTCGTAGTAGTGTGGTAAATTTCTAGTTTTTAAATGTCCACATTAGAGGAATAATTCAGCAATCAGAGTTTAATTAGATCCGATTTTTTAGGGCTTTTTGATCTCACTTGTGTGCAAGACTTGTCCTTTATATTATAGTGAATTCCTAATTTTTTAATTTTTATAGTACCATTCAAATCTCTATTTATTTTTCTTTTTAATTTTCACTTTGCAGTAAATTTCCAATTTTTAAATGTCCACATTAGAGGAATAATCCAGTAATCCTAGTGAATTCCCAATTTTTTAATTTTTATAATACCATTCAAATCTGTATTTATTTTTCTTTTTAATTTTCACTTTGCAGTAAATTTCCAATTTTTTTAATTTTCGTAGCAGGGTGCTAAATTTCCAATTTTTAAATGTCCACATTAGAGGAATAATCCAGTAATCCTAGTGAATTCCCAATTTCTTAATTTTTATAGTACCATTCAAATCTGTATTTATTTATTTTTCTTTTTAATTTTCATTCTGCAGTAAATTTCGAATTTTTTTAATTTTCGTAGCAGGTGGTAAGTTTCCAATTTTTAAATGTCCACATTAGAGGAATAATCCAGTAATCCTTGTGAATTCCCAATTTTTTAATTCTCATAGTACCATTCAAATCTGTATTTATTTATTTTTCTTTTTAATTTTCATTCTGCAGTAAATTTCGAATTTTTTAAATTTTCGTAGCAGGTGGTAAGTTTCCAATTTTTAAATGTCCACATTAGAGGAATATTTCTCGCGTGAAAATAGAACGATTTGACGGGAAAGATAGTTTTTGCCCCGGTCAAAATTCCGTTTCCATTGCGTTCGCCATGATAGGGGCGCAGTCTCACGCGGAATCACTCGCATGGATTACGATTAATTAACCCGCGGAAATGCGGAGAGAAAATCGGGTTGGAAGTTGAAATGTCCGTTTCACCGTATAACAAGTCGCAACGAGACCTTTACTCGTTGCTGGCACGCGAGCGTGGCAAAGTAATCACAGACGTTGAAGACAATGGACAGAGGATAACAGGTATCTGTGCCGAATGGTACCGGCTTATTATCATAATTCGCAATTGTCGCCCACTGCAATCTCTTGCTCTGCTCGAGCACATCGTTATTCATAGGTGGGAGTGACGGCTACCGGCTGCATATTTTTCTTTCAATTATACTGCACTATAATAACGCTGGTGACAATAATTATTATTATCGGTATTATTACTCGATGGAAAATGAAACTCGAAATGAAACGAAATTTTTCATAAAAATTTAGAAATTTTTGGAAATATACAAATTATTTAAATAGAAATTTTGTATCAGTCACGAATAACAAATTTAACTGGATAATATAAAAATTGCAAAGTTCATTTGGGATTGGACTATTTGCACGGTTCATACAAAGTTTCTGTACTGTAAGTAAGCTTTTAGTCTAGCTGTAGGCAATAAAAGTGCCATTTAGATCACAAATCTATGCGGATGCTAGAAATTAACGCTGCCTGTAGGATCAGTATCCCACTGGAGTGTTTCGACGTTATATCAGTGCAGATCGATTATCTTGGAAGCGAGATTACGAAGCATATTTTTCCAAATTCTTAATTTTCTTGCAAAACTAGCTTATGTGCAATTTCCTGCAACACATTAATTACTACCTTGTAAAGCAGGAAATTGGGAAAAGTGGCTTGTCCAATTTCGACGTTCAAGAAAATAGATTCCTACTTTTCTCATTTACAAAAATTGGTAACACTCTGCAACATGGTACTTCATTGTTCTGCAGTATAAATAGCACAGCTTCGAATATAAATTCCGAAGAGGAGAATTTCTGAGTATTTTCAAAGTAGAACCTCATGGTTCACTGGTTTATTGGAACTTAACTGCAGGAATTCATCGTTGTTTCCCTAATTGTTCTTCAGCTTCGAGACCAGCAACGGGATCAGCCACTCGGAGTCAGGACAACCTAAGCAGGTAGACAACGAGACACCGGTGGTCTCCCAAGGCTCTGATTCTTACGTAGCGCCGGATGGCCAGCAAGTCAGCATCACATACGTAGCAGACGAGAATGGCTTCCAAGTGCAAGGCTCTCACATCCCCACGTCACCACCGATACCGCCAGAGATCCAGAGGGCGCTCGAGTGGAACGCGGCTCACCCAGAAGAGGACGACGGTGGTCAACCACGATCGCCTGCCCGAGGTAACTCCCTTCTTTCCTACCCTAATGACACTTTAACTCTCGGTTACCGTGAGATAGAAAGCGATTAAAACGAGTTTTCGTATCTGAGTCGCCTGCAAAATTGAATTTCGCGCCTTAAGTTCACTCCATTACTCCGGCCTACGTCGGGTAGCGAAGATTGGATCAAAGTTGAATCAAAATTGCAGCCATAGCAAGTAAAATGGCATCTACATAGCGAGGACACTTTAATATCTACCCTATCGCGAAATAGAATGAAACTAAAATCGGTTTTCGTATCTGAGTCGCCTGAAAAATTGAATTTCGCGCCTTAAGTCGACTCCATTACTCGGCCTACGTCGGGTAGCGAAGATTGGATCAAAGTTGAATGAAAGTTACAGTTCTACTGAATAAAATGGCATCTACATAGCGAGGACACTTTAATATCTACCCTATCGCGAAATAGAATGAAACTAAAATCGGTTTTCGTATCTGAGTCGCCTGAAAAATTGAATTTCGCGCCTTAAGTCGACACCATTACTCGGCCTACGTCGAATAACGAAGATTAGATCAAAATTGAATTAAAATTACAGTTCCAGTGAGTAAAAAGGTATCTACATAGAGACGACACTATGTATTTTAATTTTCGTGAGATAAAATCCAATGAAAACGAGTTTTCGTGCATAAGTGCTTCGTGCAAATTGAATTTCGCG